CCCCCCCCCCCCCCCCCCCCCCCCCCCCGGGCTTTAGTGTTTTCCAGGCTGAGGTTGAATCATAATAATGAGCATTAGTCACCCTCCTTACAAGAAACAGCCCATGTCCTCTAGTAGCCTCTTTCTCCCAAAGAGCCCAGAGTGCTTAAACATCCCCAGTCTCACACTGTCACCCTTTCTACTCCTCCCGAAAAGCAAGAGGAAGAGGGGATGGACTCAGAAATCTTTTCTTCTTCGCTTTTGCAGTTAGTAAGTCTGAACTGCAAGTTTTTGCTCCCCTTCTGGCATATTTTGTTTCAGACTTGGGCTCAGCTTCAAACCCTGTTTGGACGGTTAAATGAGAATAAGAGTATTCAGCAAAATGGCACCCTACCCGTGTCCTATCTGAAACGAGGGGCTGAAGCTGGATAAGATGAAATGTGGGGAGAGGTTTGGCTCAGCAGCTAGCTCTCAAACACTTTTGAATCTAAGCCAAACCCTGGAAAGTAAGGGGAAGGGGGGGGGTACCCTAAGCCGAGTGTGCATTTTATCTCTGATAGCTCAGAGATAAAAAGGGTTGGGTGTGTGCCCTGTAGCTTGTCCTGGAACCCACATGGGCCTCGAAGGGCACTCCTAAGGGTGAAGGGGGGGTGGAGGATGCAGTGGGACTGTTGTGAAGTAGCAGGGTTTGGGGGAATTTCAATCCGGTGCTGGGTTTCAAAGCAAGAAGATCACAAATCTTGCCTTGGATACTTAATGATTGTGTGACCCTAGGCAAGTCCCTTAACTTCTCTGAGATTGTTTTTCCTTGTCTGTGAAATGTGAATGTTAGCACCTTCCTCATGGGTGGTTGTAAGGACAAAACATGTCTCCAGACCCCATAGTAATGTGAGCTACTGTTATTATTCCAACTCAGGGCAATCCCAAAGAATGGTCAGGAGGACGATGAGACATCTGGCGAATTCGCCCTCAACCAGGGCTGAGCTGGAGCCCGTTCAGACTCGATGAGAAAAGCCCATTGTTAAATTTTCAGTGTGAACATTTACACCTCAGAAATTGGTGAACAGTACAAATCAAGGCTTGATTTGTTTTGATTGTCTAGCCTTAAGTATTAATAATGCAGAGTGTATTGTGCCATTTTTTTCAAAGCCAGTTGTTAAATATTTATCAGACTACCCCTACCCTCAACTGAAGTTAAACTTTAATCTTTGAGACAGGCTTCTTGAATTTGCTGTGAATCTCAAGATGTCCAGGGCTTTCCTTTGTCTGACTGGCCCAAGGATCAGAATGAGCATACTGGGTTCTTCCCCACCTCTGGACTCGGGACTCATTTCTCCTTCTTCAGCCTTGCCCTCAGTCCATAGCAAAATCCTGCTCATGAGCTACTGAAAAGTCTTCCAAGTCTTGTTTTCAGCTGCCGTTAAGGAGCACGAATTCCCATGCAGACCTACAGACACACATGAGTTCTGATGTTTCCCATAACGGGGCAGTCTTTTTTTTTTTTTTTTTTAAAGAAGGCAAGACTGCGGGCAACACAGCTGGTGACAATTAGAGTCATCTGGCTGACTCAGCAAGAAAAGTGGAAGGAGCGGGAGGCTTCTGGGGGTAAAGGGTTTGCCCTAGAAACAGGAGAACAGTCAGTGTACCAGGTCCAAAGGGAAAGAGAAGTACTCACTGATTGATAAGAAGGCACTTAAAACCTCTCTTAAAATCATTGCTCTCCCAGCCGTCTAGGAGAGCCTCCTAAGGCCACCAGGTGGTGGTGTGTGGATACTGAAGACAGGGAACTTTATGCTTGGTTGGTTACACACCCCTGGAGGTTATCCTCCAGGTAAGCATTGCCTCATGGACATTGTGTGCTAGGAGCCCAGGACAGATCCAACCATGAAAAGCCCAGGGGAAATGAATACCCCAGGCCTTGTGCGCATTGGAGCTTATACTGATCTCAGGCTATGATGCTGAGGTGAAAGGGATAGGTGTGTCTGATAATCCAAGGTGGTCATGAAATTAGGACACTCCTAAAAGCAAATGGGGCTCAAGAGAAAGCCATTCTCCTAAATGGTGAGATGGAAGCAGTAAGTATCTCTTTTGACTTTTAGGCTATACGTATTTCCATTAGAGCATAGTTCAATGTAAATAGAGGTCACACATTGAGCTAGGAGTCATGGGACTTGAGATCAAATCCTGACTTTGCCACTTACTTCCTGTGCAACCTTGGACAAATCACTTAATCTCTCTGAGCCTCAGTTTCTGGGCTTCCTTTCCAACTCAGGTTGCTCACTGGAATGCTGGCTGGGTGGGGAGGGGGAGGATAAAAAGAGTGTCTCTTCCCACTCCAGCTCATGCTTCACTCACCTACCAAAGGGATCTTTCTAAAATACAGATCTGAGTCTTCAGCTTGCTTACTTAGTAAACTCTATTGGCTCCCTGTCACCTCTAGCATCAAATATAAAATTCTCTGGCTTTTAAAGCCCTTCACAACCTGGTCCCTTCCTGCTTTTCCAGTCTTCTTATACTTTACCATCTTTTATGTACTCTAACATTTAACAACAGGGGCCTTCTTCCTCTCAAATGGTGCTCTATCTCTTGGGTCCTCATCTTTTCACTGACTTTACCCCATCCCAGGAATTCTCTCCCTTCTCCCCTCTTTTTCTAGGCTTCTGGCTTCCTTCAAGACTCAGCTCAAAGTCCTGCCTTCTGCAGGAAGCTTTCCCCAGTCATCCCCACTGCTAATGCCTTCCCTTTGAAATGATCTCCCACTGTTGTTGTTGTTCATCCTTCCTTTTCGAAGAGGACAAATGACATCACAAGGGTGATGTCTTGACTTGCTTGTGAATTGGATTTAAGTGAGGCAAAGCTTCACAAAGTCATCAGCCACACTCTCTCCTCCAGAGTCATCAAAGTCAAGCGGCAAGGCAAGAGTCAAGACAACTGTTGATGGCCTACATATATTATATGTACATGGTTTGTGTTACCTCCCTGTTAGAATTTGAGGTTCTTGAGGGCAGGGACGGTGTTTTGGATTTTCTTTGTATTCCTATAACTTAACTGGTATCTGGCACTTAGTAAGTGATTAATAAATATTTGAGGTTTTTTTCCTCTTTTGAAAAAATCATTTTATATAAATTTATTATCTCTCCCTCTCTTAAATGAATAGTTTTTTTAAACCCATAACAAATATGCATAGTCTGGGTCTAGGAAAACAAATCCCATATTGGTCATATCCAAAAAGTTCTAACTAAGTACCTATTCTATTCTTATTCTGCATGTTGAGTCCATCACCCCTCGTCAGGAGATAGGTAGCATGCTTCATCTTCCATCCTCTGGAATGCTGGGTTATCATTTCAATGGCTAAAGTTCTAAAATCTTTCAAAGTTGTTTTTCTCTATGACATTTTTGTCATTGTATAAATCATTCTCGTAGCTCCACTCACTTCACTCTGCATCAGTTCATAGAAGCTTTCCCAGTTTCTGGTGAAACTATCCATTTCATCACATCTTATAACCTAATAATACTCTATTACATTCATATTCCATAATTAATTTAGTCATTCCCCCTCCCCCTTAGTTTCCATTTTTTGTTGTTCACTCATCATGTCCAACTCTTCTAGGCAAAGATATTTAAGTGTTTTTCCATTTCTTTTTCCAGATCATTTTTCAGATGAGGAAATTGAGGCAGAGTTAAGTGAGTTGCCCAGGGTTACACAGCTAGTAAGTGTCTGAGTCCAGATTTGAACTCAGGAAGATGAGTCTTTCCTTACTCCAGGCCCAGTACTCTATCTAGCTGTACCACCTACCTTCCAGTTTATTTTAAAAAAAAAAAAAAGATCTGCTGTGTATATATTTTTTACACATAGTTCCTTTCCCTCTGTCTTTGATCTCTTTGGGGTTTAGGCTTAGTAAGGTATAGTTAGGTGGAAGGATATGTACAGCTTAGTAACTTTTTAGGCATAATTCCAAAAACTTCACAAAATGGCCAAACCAATTCACAGCTCCATCAACAGTACTTGATTGTGCCTGTTTTCCTGTAGTCCCTCCAACATTTGTAATTTTACTCTTTAGTCATCTTTGCTGATCTGATGGATGTGAAGTAGAATCTCCAAGTTGTTTTCATTAGAGTTTCTCTAATTATTAGTGATGTGGAGCAAATAAATGCTTGTTGATAATGATGATGACAGTTATGAAGGTACTTTTCGGGTCCTGGCTCCTAAAACTACAGCTCACAAACCCCTACTAGTGTGCTTACCATTAATAGTCAGCCATTAGATACAATTAGCTTAAAAAAAAAAAGACATTTCCTAAAATGCCCTAGTAAGAATACTAAGGCACATGGTCTCCCACAGACAGAAACAAAAACACTTTAAGGGGAAACACAAGCACATAATAGATTACACTGGTAGGGAGGTACACACAGAAGGAACTGTGGCCAGGGCAACTCATGTTTTCATCACTACAGGGCCCCAGCATTCTTTCTTATCTCAGTGTCT